CCGAGTTTAGCTGAAGAAGACAATACACAGTTGATCAACATAGTACAGCAAATAAACCTAAAACAGACTCATTCGCATTAAATATGTAAAAAAAGAAACATATATTTCAACTCACGTTTAGGAGATGTGACCAAGGGACTGTTTGGTGAGGGGGAGAAGACGCTGGGAGAGTTGAGCTTCTCATCACTGAAGCTGAAACTGTTTCTGTTCAAGGACTCTGCACCTGTTACAGAAGGAAAGAAAGAGACAGAGGAAGTCAGAAATGTAAAACTGACGCTTCCGAAAACTCTACCGTATTTTGTTGCAAATTCATACGTCACGGGTCAGTTTGTGTAACATGCCATATCCACAAAAAACATGAACTAGATGCAAGGTAAAAGAAAGTATGACTCAACCTGCATTAAATACAATTTCACTTGCAAAATTTGTACACTTTTCAGTTACACTTTATTTTAAGGTGTCTTTGTTACAGTGTAATTAATTATACATTTAAGCACTGAGTAATATTAATTAACTACATATACTTACTATATGGTTAGGGTTAGGCTTTGCGTGTAATTATGCATAATGTATTGTTATTATAATAGTAAGTACATGTAACATGTGTAACAAGGACACCTTAAAATAAAGCGTTACCCACTTTTCCTTGCCGAGAGCATGAAACCATTGAAATTCAAGGGGCAGCTGGAAAAACTCAAGTCTGAAAGTCTATGGTATTCACTTGTGTTGAGTCACCATTTAATGGCTAATGTAAAAGCAGTGGAGCAGCACTGCTCTCTACCACACAGGCTTGCCAAACATGTGCAGTGACCCATAACCAGAGGGGGAAGGGGGTGTTGGGGGTTAATCTGTGCTAGTAGAGCGGGTTGAGTTTGTAATCAATGCATACTCCTCTAATAAAAGACTCTCTCTCACGAGCACACTTTCAAAGCGGGTTCAACCGCGACCCACCCTCGAGCAGGTTCATTTAAATCCAAAGGTCTGACCCGGTATCTTAAAAAACTTTGTTTACACATTCTTAGCCCTGCTCGACGTAAAAGGCATTACACAGAAGCTCAACTTTTCCCACCGCCTCAGTCATTAGATCCTCTCGCCTGTCAGCTGGTGAAACGTGCCAGTATCCTCTCAGCTGACACTGTCATCTACATTAGTGCTTTTAAACCCTAAAATCAGCCAAATAATCATATATTTATACACAATTAGATTAATTCATTAAATGCACTTGTGAAAAAGAAGCGTGCTTAATTGTACTGAATGTGCACATGTTAAAGTATATATTTTTTTAAATATTATATTTGCAGATAATAAAATACGAATTCAATTAGTGTACTTAAGTGTAAAAGGTACATATTTCTAAACACACTTAGGTACACCAACTGTAATAATGTCACATTTGAAAGTTTTACTTTAAGGTTCCCTTATAATCATTAAGTTGTATTAATCTCGTGTCATGCTTTAAAGAAGTACTTTATTATCATTTTAAGTGTAGTGTGTTATTCAATATTAAAAGTTAATATATTTTAAATGCACTACATTGCAACTTCATTGCATGTGTAATTATAAATACATTCAACTAACGGCATTAAATATAAATTGAATCTAATGCAATTTCATTTCATTGCAATTAACATGCATTTGAGTGTCTGAAAACATTACATTCAGTTCGCACTTAAGTATAGTGTTTATGTAATAAATACTCTTTTTAAAAGAATGCAAAAGTGTTCTCTCTTTTTCTCAAGGATATGCTTAGCAGCTTTTAAAAGGAAGGTTGATGTTTTATCCAGTATAAAGTCCTGAAGCAAAACCGCTTGAAGCCACTGATCCAGATCAATGGCACGTGTGTCAAAATGGCATCAGGCTTGATTGGATCCAAAATGCAGTTTCACAGATCCATGAGGGCACTGCAGGGCACATAATGCCATGACTGCACCAGAGGAAGGTTTATTGTGCAAGCACAGAGTCTGTCACATTCCCTGTTTGTTCCAGAAGGAAAAGGGTGGGGTAAAGAGATCACTTGTTGCTTAACCATTAAACACAAGAACACCTCTAGAGCAAAAGTGCAAAGGAACATTTCTATGCACTCATAAGCAATCAAACAGAACGCTTCTATATATATATATCCATTCACGATGCAATCCATCTTCAGATTCTGGATCCATCCCATCAGCACTTCAACACACAAGAAGGTTTGGATATATAATGGATTTCAGGCTAAGAAAAAAGTCAGTGTTTAACTTGAAATTGATACCCTGAAGTCTCCACAAAACGTCTGAGCAAGGCACTGGTTCTTTGTCATTGGCTGGACCGTCTCAGGGTCTGACTGAACTCTCTTCTGCTTCACAATCTCCTAACAGCTATTACAGCTGACTATCAGAAATATCAAGGTTTCCATAAATTTCAAGGTCTTTTAAAAAACGTTTAATGAAACCCAGCTGTTCTTTGTGCTTGTGTGTGGGCTCAGATTAGATTAGATAAGATTAACTTCTGAGGCTGCCGGGCTTTAGTCGCGACGCAGTGATAATGGCTTCAGGGCGCTTCTATCAGTCTTCTGGAATAATAAAAGCAACTTTCTCCTGCTGCATACTCACTCTCAGAGTCGCTGATGCCGCTGTCGCTGACGCTCGCGCTGCTCCGTCTCTTCATGGTTTTCAAGTGCTCATCATATCTGAAGTGTCGCTTCTCCACGGGGGACGAGAAATCCTCAATGACAGCGTCGAATTCACACAACACGGCGCTGAGGTCGTCATCCTCCTCAAGAAACGCTGGAAAACGCAACGCAAGAGATTTGTTGCAGACTTGCAGAAACAGAATAAGAGCGACAAAGTATCGCCTCAGCGTAACACGCATGCTTCACTTAACGAGTCTTGCTAAATTGCAGTCAGTTTTATTAAATCTTTTTGACTTACATTTGCCCTGTGGCTTTATCTTTGGAGACTTCATCTTCTGTACTCCTTTAGTGTGTTAAACTCCCAAATATCCGATATAAGGCCAATCTCCTGCTGTTGACACACTCTCCCTCTGTGCTGTCTGAGCTCCTTAGCGCGTACAGTGCGCTCTGCGGGGCTGTTTTAAATATCGCCCGGCTCTGGGAGAGGGCGGGGACTGAGGGAGGCGTGCTGGACGCGGGAAACGCATCGCCAGTGAGACGCTCGCACTCGTTTTAGCCCTCCGTGTGAGTTACATGGCCTGGCGTCATTCCTCCCTGAGCTATGTGTTTGTAAACAGCTACTATGACACATGTGCGACATCAGTACTGCTTTATTTTTAACCATAACTCCATCATGGTCACCCTTTTGCGATGACTTCACTTGTTGCAATGTTTTACCAGCAATACAGCAATAATGTTACAGGAAAAATGGCTAACTGTGTGTAATGCAATACGGCATGAAAATATATTTAAAGATGCATTACAGTTCAAAAAGCCCTTTGGAATGTCCACATGAGGTTCAATATATTTATTAAAAATGTTAATTCTTCATGCTTTGTTTCATGTAAGTTGATGTGTGATGGTCATTTGTACAGTTTTGGCCAAAAACAAGACAGGCAGAAGCATGCGGTCTATACTATACAGTATATATATATATATATATATATATATGTCAAATATATGAGAAATAAAAATAAAGTTATTTAATAATGATGATAATTATGATTATATGAGTTTATACACACACACATATTGTTTTCAACATTGATAATAATTGATTATAATAATAAATGTTTCTTGACCATCAACTCATTATATTAGAATATAATTAGTATAAATTATGGGAAATTATATATCATTTCTCCTTTTCTACTTTACTTTTCCCCAAAATAATGTATTTTCAATGTAAGATATAAATGTGATAATAAATATTCCAGAACTACTTGGTGCTTCACCAAATATTTTAATATTTTGAATGTACATATGTTTTTTATCAATAAATGCAATTACATATAAGGAGGAAAGTCACATTAAAGGTAAGGGTCAAAGGTTAGGATGACGGTTTAGATGTAACAATATAATTTGATGTAAAACAAATGCATTATGTGTATACTACCCAATTTTTTTCTGTTTTAATTTTAATTTTTTTGGTTTTATTTTGGTGTTAAATTCTAAGTATTCGCATTTTCTGTGTCAAGTCTAATCGTTGCCATTCCTGTTACTGTTATTCACAAAACTGATCTGGTCCAAGTTAAGTTTCTGCAGACATCTGGTGGTGACTAAACGTATGTGCACTCAAGTTATTAATTCATGGCAATTAGATTAGATTCAGATCCATTTTATTGGTCAGGTGTGTTCACATGCATGAAAAAAGTGTCATTGATTCCAGAAGCTTCAGTACTTTCCAGTGCACAGGCAGTTTCACAAGGACAAAAAATACTTTTAAGGCCCAACTGCTTAATCATAAACAGTTAAATCCTGCTTTTTGTTATTTTTAGTGGGGCTGTGGGATTATCACTTGGAAAAGAATTCTTCACACCTCTGGTGTTTGAGCTAACAGGTAGACACATGGTAAAACAAGACATGTGTTTGCAGCTGCACTTGCCTGCTGACTTTAGGGTTTAAGTGCACATGGAAGGTGTCAAAAACCACACTTACTGTCTGAGAGGGTGAGATCTGTTCGGTTCACAAAATAAAATGTTCACAAGGATTTGCTGAATGTTGCTGTCAAAAAAAAAAAAAAAGGTTAATGATCGAATTTCAAAGACTTTTCCAGTTCCCAGTGGGTTGTATTTTTTATTTTGGATTAGGATTTAATTTTGGATTTAACAAATACTTTTGCGAAGATTGTACTTGCAGAGTCATTTCCGACTTTAAAAAAAAATACAGCTGAGCATAACTAGAAAAATATAGCCACTACAGAAATTTCCATGATTTTTGATTTTACAATTTTCCTGATATTTCCATTACTGTGAGAACCCTTTTTATATTTAAAATCTTTTAAATTCCTCTTTGATCCAGATTGATCACAACTGTTATATAGAATATATCAAAAATAATTAGTTTTTGTGCACATTTTATTTTCATATTCACTTCCAAACACATCTGACAGTCACTGCAAACTATTTACACAATGCCATTTTTCTCTCAAGTACAACAAATAATACATGATGCTGAATAATCGAGACAAACGTCAGACATGATACAATGTCAATTTAAAGTGCAATACAGTCCCTGTTTTCCAAATGCTATTGCTTGCAAAAAGGGTTGTCAATAAAAAAAATAAATGATTGAAATCAAGCCTTCGAGATGTGTTGAAGTCTAATTGATGCATCGATTTGCTTGTAAAAGACGACAAAAAACACCAATATGTTGCAGATTACTGTGTTTCACAAATGCATCACATTGAGGTTGGGATATAAGTACTCACAATTATGAGAAAGAGTGTGTTTTCCCTTGTTTTTAATCTCACTTTGTTTCATAATAATGCTCTGAATGCTTTGACAGTGGCGCCTACTAGTGTTCATGATGGAGTCATTAATAGCTTTAGTTATGCAGTCTGTCTGGTTCAGTTTAAATACAATATATGCTTTCAAAAGAAATAAAATTGAGAATTAAGTGGAAATATAATAGTCATTTTTCTGTATCCGCAAGCATAATAGAAAGCTCACAGTGCACAATAATGAGGACCAATGTGTTATTTCTGATACCTCAGACATGCCCAAGATTGCCTTTAGAAGTTTCACAGCGGCAACCTATGTGGAATTGTAACATTGAAACAACATGCAAAGTTATTACAGACTGAAAATGTTATAACAGTCTCTCCTGAATGAGATCTTCATGACACTGAGCATGTTTCTGGAGAGTTAATAACGCTCTTAAATAATATAACATGTAGTAATAAGACATATAGGCATCCCTTGCTGCATAATATGTGGTTTAACTAAACAAAACCCCCAAAATGCTCCAGTTTATGCTTCCAAAGAAATTTGTAAACTGCACATACACCAAATGCAATCCTATAGACATATACTGTACTGTATATCTCCCAATCACTCTTTCTGTCTTAATACAGAACGTCACCCTAAATTATTGCATGAAACTGTATGGGCCAAAGTGCATTAGCATAAACAGGGTGTGTTCTCCTCCTGTCCACCAGCGAGCTGTAAGAAGCTGCTCTCACTTGGCTGTTTCAGTCTCAGCGGCTTGCGATTCTTCAGCCTGTAGGCCAGCGTGAGGAAAATGGCATCTACATGCTCTTTTTCTGCAGGGTCTCTTGCAGACGTCTCAAAAAGCGGGAAGTTGTAGCTGTCAGCCAGTCGCTGAGCAAAAAACGTGGACACCTCTCTGGCTCCTCTTAAGTCACATTTGTTCCCCACTAGGATGCGGGGGACCATGGGAGGGACTGAGTGACGGCTGCACTCCTCAATCCACTCCGGCAGACTCTCAAATGAAGCCAGGCTGGTCACATCATACACAAAGATGATGGCATGGACGTTTCTGTAGTAATGCTCCACCATACTCTTCCTGAAGCGCTCCTGTCCCGCCGTGTCCCAGATCTGCAACTGAGAATGAGAATGCAGTTTGCTTCATTGTAGATATTAAATTATGCTAGTATAAGACCAGGACTAGTGGTCATAAAGATCTCAGCAGTTTTGAGTCCAAAGTCCTATATTATACACACATCACAAGTGACATTAAAAAAATATATATTTTAATTACACATTAATACAATTCTAATATAAGTAAAACAATAGTTATACTACTCTATTTAAACAATCATACAATATTTAATGTTGTTTGTCTACCACTGAAAGGATAACAGTCAACAGTACACACAGCACATCCATTGTTAAGAAGAATGCCATACTCGATATTCATAATCAAAATGCTCTTTACAGCTTTCTGTACGGATCCTTACCTTTATGTTTTCTCCATCAAGGTGCAGGGTTCTCTCTCTAAAATCTACTCCGATTGTTGCCTCGGGATTTTGGAGAAATTTACCACCGCAAAAGCGGTAAGTTAGACACGTCTTTCCAACATTTGAATCCCCAATAACGATTATCTTAAACACCCTCGCCTGAGCACTGTCATAATCCTGACACGAGTCATTGGCCAGACTGTCTCTTGTGTAAATCGTCGCGAAATCATTGTTGCCCGTTGTGCTTTCTATTGCCATAGCTCCGATACTCGGGAAATATCGCGAGAGGATAAGAACGAGATCTTAACGTGAAACGTGAAAAGCAAGGCTTTTGTGAAAAAAGTGAAACGTGAAAAAAGTGTAAAAACGCCTGAAGCTGTAAAAGCAGTGAATAAAATGATGTATAAAGTATAAACGGACTTTATTAACAGTACCAACCCTTTAAATCAGATTACATAAACGTGATAATTTAACAGACAACTATAACACTTAAACAACGAAAATAAGCAACAAACAGAAAATTGGTAAAACGAGGTAGAGTACAACAGAGCTAATTGCTCAAAGACGTATATTTTGTACATTTACTGTTAGCAGAATAATGTGTAGTTATAGCATACTTAAGAGGTTATGAAATGCCCCAAGATATTTGGAATAAACAGTAAATTACCCATCCTTCCTGAAGGATGGTTTATCTTAATAATGTATCTAAAAGTGATCTTGCTATATCAAACGTGTATTAAAATTAGCTCCATATCACCTCAACCGATGTAGCCTTTATATTTGAAACCTCGTTTATCGTGTATTTTCACATTAATTAAATCCCCCCATCAATATTAAATAAAAATAAATATATTTTTTCTTCTGATCATTATACACTTTGAGACCAGAAATAAACACATTTTCTTTAAGAGGGGCTGTTAGCCCCATAGTACCCTGTTCAAGATTCCAGCGTAATACTGTTCTTTATTTATGATCTTCAAAGACTGGCAGAGACACAATACTAACAATCAGTGGCGGCTCGTCGGGGGGAGGCAGAGCTTCCCCATAATTTTGAGGTGAAAAAACACTGCGCCGCTTTTCTACCGCGAATATGCCGATTCTGCTGATGTAATTACAACCGCTAAGTGATAGAGAAGGGGAGGGGGAGGCCGGGGGAGAGCTATAATCGCGCGATTTTTTGCGCAGCTTGTCAGTGAACAACGGCTCTGTGTAGCTAATGCTGCTCAATGTGAAAGCCCGCACGTGATGGAGATTTACCGCTGATTACAGAAGATGCGCATTAAATATCGCATGTGATTTATCGTGCAGCCCTAGAAGTGATATTGAATATTTGAATGCCAACATTTTTACCAAGCTGTCATTCAAACAGTATATATACAAATTTAGGGAAAACAGCCTAAGCTGGATATAGGCTACAGCAGTCGGCTTAATTAAATGGCGCAACAGGCAGCTCTCTTTTAACACAGACTTTTAAGAAGGGATGGATGTTTGCTTCAAGTGATAGGCCAGGTAAGTGAAATTATATTATCTTGCTGTATGTATGTCATTTTCTTTAAGTTTTCTGACTAAAAGCAATCAAAAAGCCATTTTAAAGTGGTTAAGCAAATAATAATAATAATAATAATCGGCAGGGATCCCAGACCAATACAATTAGTGTGCCTCCTCTATTTTAAAACACACGAGCCGCCACTGCTAACAATTATTTGTACCAATTTATAATCCTGAGACAAGGTATCATTCACTGGCCATATATCATAAAGGTAAGCATTTGTTTAATAATACTCATAACAGCATGAATTTCAAGTAGGTTCTACCCTGGCTGCTGTGGCATGAGCCACATCGAAACAGGCTATTACTTTCAACACCTATATCTCAAAATACTTTGCCGCATATGCACATATGGCTCAGTTCCACATTTGACACTTTTTTGGCAAGCCATTTTAGCTTAAATTATTCCCAGTTACTCGTCGTAATTGCATTTTTACTAGTAACAATGTCAATTAGAGAGCTCTCTAATTTAATTAGAGAGCTCTGCAATCGCATTCTTACTAGTAAGATTTACAATTAGAGAGCTCTTTAATGCAATTACAGAGCTCTGCAATTAAACATATCTTTAATGTGTTTTTTTACTAGTAAAAATTTAATTATAGAGCTCTGTAATTGTACGGCTTGCCATACACTTTATAACTGCATCGACTACCAATTTTCATCTGAAAATGAGCTTGAGCTGCCGGAGTCCGAGTCTGCGTCAGTCAATCCATCGAAGTCCCAGTCAGCGCTGGAGCCGCTGTCATCATCCTCTTCTGAGATGAAATTCTGACCGGACCCCAAGCACGCTGTATAAACCCGGGTGGAGAGGCTTATGGACCCGAAGGACGATCCAAACATGGTGGCCACGTTTTTCCATGAGTCTCGAGTGGGATCGTATTCATGTATAACAAGCCTGCTCTTATTGTGATGGACTATTTCAATAGTTAGAAGCAGCAGTTTGCTGTTGTGTTGCACCACTTGGTAGTTGACAGCGCTGCTGCCAATGGGAATGTCTCCAATCCGCCTCCATTCTCCACGAGCTGGGTTATAAGCTTTAACTACGGGGATATCGCACAAACAAATAATCTGCTCTTGAAAAACACAAGCCTTGTGGAGTTTACTGCGTTTCAGAGAGCCCCGCTGGAGCCAGAGGTTTTTCTTCGGCTCGTAGCTAAGCATCCTCCTCTTGTTCACCACATAAAGCCGCTCGTTTATCGTCACAACCTGCATCTTTCCCAAAGAATGCGGTAAGGGGGCCACAAAACCCCATTGGTTCCTCTGAATGCTGTAGCATTCTACTTCCTTGAGCCTGGCATCCGATACCGGATCTCTGCCTCCCACAATGTACAGATGCCCATTGAGGTAGCCCATGTAGGAGTGCACTCTTCCCAGAAGTCTTTCCGCAAGCTCCTGCCAACAATTAAACAGAGGACTGTAGACCCAGAAGTGCTTGGACAGGTGCGAGGCGAGATACAGATTGTTCTCTGGCGTGGTGCAGACCATAAACGTCTCCATAGGAGAGCGTTTGAAGTTCTGATTGGTGAGGTTCATGACCGGGGACGCCATAGAATAGATGTCGTCCGTATAGGGATCATAGCACATGAAAGGCTCATTTGGCCGTCCGAAGAAAAGCACCATTTCTTTTGCACTCTTGCCGATTCTTTGTTTGGCAGCATGTACGCTCTTTGAAATCGTAGCGCTCGGCTCATCGCCGGCCCCGTCTAGGACATTCGAAAGATATTTCATTATAAAAGGTTTTGATTTAAGGCTATCTAGATAAACCCTGTCTTTCTCTGAAAATAAAGGCCATCGCACGCATCTTAGGACCTGCAGGGCATCTTCAGCGACCTCATGCAGGTTATTCTCAATCCACTGTATTGCAAACGAACACACTTTGTGTTCGCAGTCCACGTCCAGAGAATCCAGTGTGAGGATCTCTTTAACCTGCTTCAAGTCCAGCTCACAAAGCTCTCGCACACTGGCACCGAGCTGGACGAAGTTCTTCGCGATGAACGCCTGAGCCTTGCTCTTCAACTCCAGATTGTCAAAAGTGTCGGCAAACTTCAAAATCCCTGCACAGTTAGAAAGGTCCAGCCTTCTTGTCATGAAGTTTGCACACGCTTGCCGGATATACTCCAGCTGCAGCATGTTGGCAGCTGCATAAAGCCTTTGCACGTTGCCTTCAGTGATTGTCACTTTGCCAGTGTAGCAGTAATCGATTATGACAGCCATTGAATGGGCGTCCACCTCATGAATGGTGACGCTTCTCTGAGTGCTCTCATACAGTCCTCCTGTAAACATGCTCTTGAAATAAGGGCTCGCTGCCGCCAGTATATTTCGGTTGCACTGGAAAACTTTTCCTGAGCAGCCTGAGGAAACACTTTGATCCGGATCGAGCTCCACTTCGATAGTCACGTCGACTAACAGCTGCGAGTCGTAGAATAATTTCAGCTCTCTCATCAAGCTTAAAGCGTGATTTGTGTCCTCAAGCTCCTCAGGTCCAGCGAAGCAGTTCACCGAAGCCATGTTTTCTCCGTCTGAACGCAACTAAATCCTGTCAGTTAGCGGCGTCAGATCTCCCTCAGCTCTAATGTAAGGTCTCTAAGTGTCATGAAAACAACAAGCTGTGAGCTGCAGGTACCGCTTCTTTGTTGCCTGACAACGCAGGCATGTTTCATGAATGAAACGCGGTCCTTTTTCACTGTACGGGAGTGTTTTCAGGACAAACTATCGGCGGCGATGTCCGTTCCGTTTAATCTAATTTCGTTCGGTTTTTGATCCTGAGCATTCGACGTTGCGTGGCGCACTCTAGCTTGCTACCGCGCTGAGCTGCAGCGTACGGCGCTGATTGGTCACATCGGCTGCGTCGCAAAGTCTGCGCTCAGCTGCCTATATAGACAGCATTTATGGGCAGCGTAGGACAGTGCTCTCTCAGTGTGATACCAAAAATGCTGCCCGCGGCTATGCGACTCAACAATGCCTTCTAGGTAAGCAGTTCACTACGATTTGAGACGTAACCATTCTCCGCGCTCTGTATTAAGTTCGGTTGGCCTGCTAAAGCTTTGTTCACAATGACATATCCTCAATATTCAATAATATTTAGTTTTAAATATTAAATATTCGTTTTAAAATTGCAGGTATTGCAATTCGGGACATATGTATACGCACGCACACACACACACACACATATCCCCTTGAAAAGCATTTAAATCTACTTTTAATTGAATGCTCAAATATAAACCATGACTGTTCAGTCTGACAATTTTATGAGTATTTTTAAATCAGATTATTACTCGGATATATATATATATAGGCCTATATATAATTTTTATACCAAACTTATGTTCTAATTAAAGTAATATAATATAGTCTGAGGCCACATTGAAAATTTGGATAATTCTCAAATCATGCTGGATTAAATTAACATAATGAATTAACATTATCATGAAAATAATAATATAATTTATACTTGTGAACAGTGTGAACTGAATGTTATGTTTTCAGACACTTAACATGTTAATTACAATGAAATGATAATGTATTCTAATTAAAATGTATATGAAATGCACTTAGCTATGAAAACTATATTTTTAAGATTTGAAGTAAACTACAAGTGTACAGTCAATACAATTAGGTTGTAATGAAAAAATAATAAAAATGTAAGTTTAGAACAGCATTTTCACTATCAGACTTTTAGCTCACATAATTTTTCTTTGCCAAATGGTCTTCGTTATAACTGCAATTAAGCACATTAATCCTGCTCAAGGCGTCCTTGTTGTCTATGGTCTTGTGGACGGTAATGATGAAGGGGAAGGCAGAGGGCAGCTCGACTCTGCGGCTGAGCTTCTGGTGACCCCAGTGCAGATCACGACGGCCCGCTCGTTCAAGACCGTCCTGCAGAAGCTCGGTTTTGTTCGGGTTGTCCCAGGGACGCTAGCTCATACCTATCAATCAATAACACAAATCATCGGAGCTACCACCAATTAACACCAACACAACTCTAGAAAAAGGTGTAAGTTTTGTAAAATAAAGTCTAATTTAAAAAACAATAATAAACAGTTACATTTCATAGTGTGTTGGATTAATACACACCATGATTCCAGCATTCTCTGAGCCTGAACCCTCTTTTCTTTGGATGTGGCATGAAACTGGCTGACTTCATTTCTGGTGAATCCCAGTTCAAATGCTAGAACGGTCCACTCAGAGCCTAACTGCTTAGCAATCTCCTGCACAGATTTCATATTGATCACCGCATCCTAAAGGACAAAGTACAGTATGCATGGACATATAATGAGAAAAAACTGCAATATTAATAATGATATTGTAGAGATGACTCACCTCTTGTGCCTTGTTTGGCATTTTATCCACATACACAAGGATTCTAGTTGGTTACATGAGCTACAATGTGAAGTCTGTCAGAACAGTACCATCTAATGTCTTTCTACTTGAAAAGAATTAAATTCACAATCCAAATACATTTAAAACACTTACAAATTTGTGCTGTTGTCGCATATGCGACTGGAGCGGTCAGTGGTTGTCAGAGAGACTGTCCAACACACACCTGCCTGGTGAAAAATTAAAACCGCACATAGTTCACTCAAGCTTTAACATTAAGAATTCAGTGAGTGAGTGTAAGTGACATAAACATACATACAGTTTAACACATAAAGGTTTGTTTAATTATTAATCATACAACAACGCTAAATGATTATGTGTTTATAGACATATTATACTATGTATTATCTTAACAGAGTTATTGTAAAATTATCTCAATTTTAAAAGGACAGCAATATATTTAATCATGTCTGCCAACTTGACAAATATTTTTACAATAATATTATTGTGACATATATAAAAGTTCAATTAACATTAAATGATCTATAATCATTTCACAAATTTTTTTAATTTTTTGTACAATATATAAAACGACAGTATATTGTCAGTGGGTCTAGTTCTTCAGCTGAACTGGTTCTATGCATTTGTTACATGTTAAGTTAGAATAGCTGCTAGTCCAGACCTCTTCTCTTCTTTAATGGTTGAACTCCAGACCCTCCAGCACAGTAAAAAAAAAAAAAAAGCCAAGATGTACTTGGACAGGTGTGCATCAATATTTGAACAAGACTGAGGTCAATATTGTTGAACAGTGCATTTGATTTAGGTTCTGGAGTAAAAAGTTGTCATACCGTGTTAATCTAATGTTGTAACTTGACCATTCTTAACACATTTTCCATTGTAGCGTGCATGTAGATGAAGAAAGTCAACCATGGGGGGGAAAAAACACAGAAGACCAGCATCAGAAACACAGTGATTTTCTAATTCTATTCAAATGAAACTCATTCAAATTTTGTAATAAACATTTGGATTACTGAACCTACCGTGCTAATGTTGTCACAACACCTGCATTTACACTTATTTTACAGTGAAAAAAATGTCTTGATGCACTTGAACACTTTAATACAATATTTGAACGTATTCAAATTAACAGCATTCAGATTTTGTAATAAAATTTGGATTACTGAACCAACCGTGTTAATTTAATGTCACATGACCCGTGATTTGTTTTTGTCTTTTTTTCCCAACAGAAAAGAATAATTTTTAATTTGTATGTATATTTTTATAGATATTTTCCTAAATGGATAGACAAATACCTTGTTTGTTCTAGCAGCACACAAAATCTATATCTTAAACAAGTTTACAATACAATATATCTACAGATGTATAAATGACCTGCACAATGTTAATTAACTGCCTTTAACGCGCCAATTAAGTGTTTACAGCTAAATCTTCCCACATAGTGATGTAGACATGTGGGGGCGTGTTCGAACGAGCCGTTTTAGGTAGGCGTGGCTGACTCTTAACTTTTATAAAGAATATCTCTTTGGATTTGAGACTTTAGTCTTTGCAACTTTACAGATCTTCTTTATGCACCAAGAGCTTGTAACACTTCAAAGAGAAAGGAAAATTTGAAATCGTATCATATGACCCCTTTAAGACAAACGGTATCAATTACCATTTGTTTGGCTGCAGTCACATGACTCTTCCTCCACATTTACTTACATTTGTGGTGCTCAAACAGTGGCGTGTAGATGGAGAGAGTCATGCACAGAAATAAACGGTAGACTAATATCAGACAGACACTTATTTTAAAGGGAAAAAAATGTCTTGCTGCACTTGAATACAACATTTGTTCATATTAATTGCTTTTTTGTACTAAAAGTCTACTATATCTAGTATCTCCCATCTATCGATCGACCTATCTTTTCAAATAAGTGTTTACAGCTTGTGTTAAAGCAAAGAGTAGTAATTACCTTTTATTTGTCTGCTGCTCACGACTTCCTCCACGCTTGCAATAAAGAAATAGGCTAGACAAAGACTAATATCAGGAAAAAACAATATTCGCATTTGAATTCGTGACGGGCCGCGGGTTGAGAACCACTGCAGTATTCGGATGTATTAAAATTAATTGCATTCAGATTTTGTAAAAAAATTTGGATTACTGAACCTACCGTGTTAATTTAATGCTGTCACATGACCCGCATTTGTGGTAGCATGTAGATGGGAAGATGCACAAGGAACGGAGAAGACCAGGGCTGCGTCCAGCCCCGACAAAAACGGTGCAAAACGTTTTTTAAACGGAAACGGTGGTGCGTTGAACACCCTGTTCTGATGACGCTAGAGTTGCAGCTATGGCAGCTGAGAAGGCCATTCTTTGTGTTCTTTTTGAAGAATTTTCATACTTGTGCTCTTATTATTTTAGTTATTTTGCCTTTAATGTAAATAAACATGTGCAAACAATATACTTGCTCTTGTGAATTTATTTTGATGTTAATTACATTGTGCGAGCTGTCTCTTTAATACAGCGTGGTTTATATACATGTTGCTGCTGATTGGGCTGACATGTTTGACACACCCACCAAACAAGAGAAAACGCATCTCAAACCCCGTTTGCACACCGTTTCCAAGAAACATGTCGTTCAAACCGGAAACGGTAGCAAAACGGTGCACACCGGTTTGAGCTTGAACTTGCCCCAGAACTTGCGATGTTTCAGAAATATGATTTCGTGATTTAAAAAAAAAAGCAAATTAAATGATTATTTCATGTTTTTCTAGAGATTTAACCTGATCTTGTTTGTCCTAGTCGCACACAAGAACTAAATTCAACAGCTCTGATAAATAGATAACAGGTAGCATGTTTCGTCGGAACACCGGCCAATGTTAAACACACAAAAAGCACATTTAGGCTACCCGCATCTGCAAGGCGTTACATTTTCCGCCTTAATCTAATAATTACGCACATAATAAATCCCATCTTTTTAGGCAGGTACCAAATATGGGTGTAATGTCATAAAATATTTTTAATATGACTGAATTTGTATTTAACGTGACCACAATTTAATAAAAACGTTAGATAGGCCTACTAATTATAAGGCTTTCATTTACAATTCAAATAGCGAGTGAATGACATACAGAAAGAGAGCAAAAACATTTACATTATCAAAGAATATTATTAAGTCTAGTGCGAGCTTTAAGCGCTCTCAAAAAGAAAAAAGAAAAACTCCGGTTATAATCAGAAGTTGTCTGCACTGTAAAATGAATCTCTTACTTTGTTTATTTGTTTTTTATATCATTAATAAAAAATAATCTCTTACTTTACATACATCTGCACTTAGTTGTTTATATGATCAGAGAATTCGCAAGAGTGCGCGCACCAAACAAAACTCAGGCGTTTCAGCAATGACTAACCCGAACGCCTCTGATTGGTCATTGCATTTTTAAGCTCAACAGAATCATGTGTGATTGGTTATAATGCGTTACGCTGAAAAAAAAAACATGTAAAAATAGGCTAAATGATAAATGAAATCTGCTAAATGATTAAATGAATATAACTTCCTTTGCTAACATTTTGTCGACAGTATCTCAATATGGTGCATACCAAATCTTGTGCAAATCAGACAAACAGCCTATAGGACGAGTTCAAAAAAGTAGGTTTTTCCCGAAAATGTAAATACTCTCTTGAATATCGTATTTCAGTACGAACCATTTCTAAACATTATAATTCAGTTCAAAAGCCTTTTATTCAACACTGGAAAAACATACTATCCACTCCCTTCCATCATAAACCAGTTCTTTAAAAAAAGAATAACAAATGTTACCATTTGATGTGCAAATGTCTTGTCCACGGTGCTCTGTATCACGAGCATCATGTAAACATACAATCTGGAATGGCTGCCATTTGCTGTATGCTGCATTTAGTGTTTTACAGTCCATTTCGTCTGCTTTTACAAATGCATCAGATCACCCACATAATTCACTTGCCATATGTTGCAACATAATTGACAACATTATTAAAAAAGGAATGCAACTTGTGCAACAGAAACCAATCAGGTACTACTCTGCCAATACTGGTTATCTAATGTAACAATGCAAGTTAACAGTAAAAGTGCTATTTGAGAGACAATGACTTATGCTTATTAAATTATAACATCTACCAAAACCAATACTGTCCTTATGTTCATATCTAATTATTAATATCATTTGACAATTGGTTTCAATGGTTCAAAAATTGTGCTGCAATTAGGCAAATTAGTTGCACGTAAACACTTGTATGCATAATGCTCTGGGTTTCAGCCATCAGGCATATTGCAGTGGTGCTGTATTGCATTTGTTAACAGTGCTTTTCAACTTCGAATCCCTTGATGTTATCTTATTTCCACTTCAGGTCTAGTTGTGCCCAGTTGTTCCCAGCCAGCTGGGCCTGAGACATTTAAGGTCTGAGCAGTTTAATAGCAGCCGTCCCTCCAGCTGCCGTCACGCAGGGCGCTCAGAGCAGAGACACTCTTCGGTGGGGTCAGTAAACTGCAATGACAGTGACTAGTGGTAATGACAGCAACACTTCAGTGTATTATACATTATAGTGTATATAAAATATCATTGTCATTTCTCAATAAGAATCCATTTTTTACCATCATGAACTAACAATGAACAATTTTTAACCAATTCTTGGTTAATGTAAATTTTTACATATATGAATACATTTTAACTCAAATTTCAAGTTGCATAAATGAACATGAGTTGTATTATAAACAAACATGAATTAACAATCAAATAGACTTTCTGTGTATGAAACTAGATATTTTTAAATCATTTTAAAACATTAAGCTACAATACTGCTCAAAAGTTTTGGTTCAGAAAGAGATTTTGTTTTTGAAAGAAATCATTGCATTAAGGTTGCATTTATTTGATAAAAATACAGTAAAAACATAAATATTATTATAATCTAAAATAACTGTTTTCTATTTTAATATATTTTAAAGTGTATTTTATTCCTGGGATCAAAGCTGAATTTTCAGCATCATTACTCCAGTCTTCAGTGTCACATGATCCTCCAGAAATCATTCTAATATGCTGATTTGATGCTCAAGAAACATTTATTATTATTATCAAAACAGTTGTGATACTTAATATTTTTGTGGAAACCATAATATATATATTTTTTAGGTTTATTTGATGAATAAAAAGCTCATAAGAACAGTATTTATTTGAAATAGAAATCTTTTGTAACATTATAAATGACTGTCACTTTTGATCAGTTGAATGCATCCTTAATAAAAGTAATAATCTCTTACAAATAAAAAAATAAAAATAAAATAAAAAAATAGATAAATCTTACTAACTGCATGTTAGTAAATTGAATATATTCACATCTAAGAGTTCTAAGAATCAGTCATTCCTGTCAGTATTTTTAGGGCTGTCAAATATTACAAATTTGAACTGAATTAATTACATGATATGCTGATTAATTAATGAAAAAGAAATTGCAATATCAATATTTTGCTCAGAAGAGCCTCTAAATCAAGTTGTTTTTGCAGATAAATAAATTTTTGAATTACAAAAACTGACTTCAAGTCAATATATGGTTTGTTTTATGTCCATATCATTAAACATAAGCCTAACACTATTTTGCAGGCAACAACAATTAATTTTTCTGAGTTTGTCTGAAGTTTACTGGTACCTACATGTGCATTTGCTTCAATGAATATGAAATTTGGTAATTAACAGTAAATGTTTAACAATAAAACACTTGTCCTCTCTGGAACAGCTAATGTTATAAAAAGCAAACAGTACATCCTGGATGAGAAGCCCATAAGCGAATGTACAGTAATACATTCACAAAAGTAGAGGAGGAAGAATTGTGAATGATTACCTGCGCATGGGCTGGGCAATTTTACTGCGTGAGGCCCCACTTGTCCCAACAAAAGAAGCAGGCCGAGGTAGAGCGCTGCGACTGGAGGAGGGGGCGCTGGGTTTGCTGGAGAGAGGGATGCTGCTGCTGCTGGGGATAGAGCTGAGACTAACAGAGGAAGGCATTGTGGTGGCACTCTGGATGGTAGGGCTCACGTAGGCTGTGGCTTTCAGAGGGGGCCGTGTTGAGAAGTTGCCCACGCTCTGAACTCGCTGCTGTAACTGGCCCGGAGAGGGAACTGAGATTGAACAGAGAGCAATAAAATTTGACCTGAGGTTCATGACAAAGTGAGATATAATCAACTACTAAGATAATTATTATCATTTAATGTGATGTTTGGACTTACTTGCAGACTGTATCTTGGCCAGACCACTGTGGGAATCAAAACTCTGACTGTTTCGGAGTAATGACAAAGATGAGGACGATGTGGCAACGTGAGCGGTCGGAGCAGGAACATTAGGCACACTGATGACACTGGGAATGCTGGGAGCTCGAATTAGGTTTGGCATGCTCCTCCGTAGCCTGTCTGAAAAAAAGGAAGGCAATGCATGCATATGCAATGCAATTATTACTATTTTGAATACATGAAAACAAACTTAATTAAAAGCCTAAAAAACTGAAATCATATTTCTATTTTCTATTCTATAACGACTATTCCTATGGAAGAAAAGTTTTCTTTTTTTTCTTCCTCTGTTCTCTATTTTTAAGTTATTTCTCAGCCAGCTCTTTGTGTCTCTGGCCAGTTTGCTGTTTTTGTTGTTTTCTTGTTTTAATTGGGTAATCTTATAAAAATAAGTTTTGTGCTCAACATATTTATTACAACTACTGTAACTAAAGAACTTCAAGGCTATTTAACTTCAGTTTGGTTTCCAGACACAAGATGGCGCCAATCAATGATCTATTCTACCAAACAGCTTTCATATCAAAACAGAGAGACTGGAGTAACCAGTACCAGTAGTGTTGCCACGTCCGCGGTTTTCCCGCAGAATTGGGCTACTTTAACACTGTTGCCGCGGTTTGTTTTTCGTGTCCGTGGGTTGAAGCGACTCCAATAACATGATATTTATCCCCTGGAATGCGAATTTTAGCACGGGAACCCCACCAAAAAAACGTGTATTTTAACCCCCAGAACGCGTTTTTTAACTGGGGACCCCTCGAAACGCCATTGGGCTAGTTTTGAGTAGCGATTGGGTGGGTTTTCTTGTGAAAACCTGGCAACCCTGGGTACCAGTAAGTTATTGCTGTGTCAGTGTTATCAGTATATTTTCTGTCTGACCTGTGTTGGCTCTGTAGCTCTGGGTCTCTGTAGCTGTGCTGGAGCTGTGGTTGGGCATGTGCAGCTGCTGGAAGGACAGGCTGCTGAGGTACTGAGGCGTGGAGGGGCTGCGCCGGCACTCTCTCATGCTGGAGAGGCTCTGCGAGTGGGACGTGCTGCGCTGCATGGAGGACGTCCGGAAGAGCTGCGGCTGCGGAGCGGGCAGCTGATCGTACTCCTCCTCTTCCTCCAGCTCAGCCTCACTCCTCATGCTCCTGCGTGCGCCTGTGTGCACCGAAAAACTAGCACTGCGGCGCGTGGCTGTGGCAGCGGTGCTCGCGTACTCCTGCCGTAGACCTAAACACAAACACATGAAGCATCCTGAGTACAAAACACTTCTTCTGACCCAGTCCACGCTTTTGAAGAATGTTGGTAACATAACAAGCTTCGCTTCCCATTGACTTCCATTGTACATTGACTTCCACCGGTGGTGCGAGGACCCTATTGGAATTGCTCAGTTTCTTCTTCTTCTTCTTCTCCAAAATGAATTGCAATATTTAGGGCCTAAACATGCTCGAAAACTCATGAAACTTTACATCTGATTTGGGTTTCAGAAGTGGGTGTGGCAAAATGGCTCAATAGCGCCACCTATGAAATTTAAATGAAGTGCCAATTGAGCCATGTTTCACATACATGTACGAAATTCAGTAGACGCATATAACACACCAATACCTACAAAAAAGACCCCTGGTACGAAGTCCGAAACACAACAGGAAGTCTGCTATTTTGAATTTTCTCTGCAAATTTTGTGCCGTTTTTGCCATTTTCAGGCGTTGTATTTAAACGAACTCCTCCTAGAGATTTAAACAGATCAACACCAAATTTGGTCAGTGTAATCTAAAGCCCTTTGTGACGTTAAATTGCGAAGATCTTGAGTTTTCGTTGAAGGGCGTGTCCATGGCAGCCTGACAAATTTCGATGTTTCATCATGAAACTCAGGCATACAATGTCCGATCTGCCCCAAACTTCACATGTTTGATAATAGTCCTGTCTTCTATCTATCTATCTAATGGCCAATATGCTGTTATAATCATAGCGCCACCTGCTGGCAACAGGAAATCACTTGTTTTACACCAACTTAAATATGCAACGTCCGATCTGCCTCAAACTTCACACATCTGATAAGACTGACTCCTGGCCTGACGACATCTAAACACCAATATTCAGTTATAATCATAGCGCCACCTGTTGGCTACAGGATATGTCATCTTTTATATTAACTCAAACATACCATGTTCAATCTGCACCAAACTTCACACGTTTGATAAATGTCTTGGCCTGAAGACATCTACATGTCAATATTCAGTTATAGTCATAGCGCCACCAGCTGGCAGCAGGAAGTTTGGCACATATAAATGACATATTCCTCCTATATTTACCGCTTTAAATGCATATCGCTGACCGTTCGCTGATTTCCTAAAGCCACCGGGTGGCGGTGAGCCCGGGTGCGAGGGCCCTTTCAACGCTGCTTGCAGCTTTAATTATAATGGCAGTTTATGGGAACTGAAAGTGTTTGGTGACCAACTTTCTTCAAAATACCTTTTATATGTTCCACAGAAAAAAAGCATACAGGTTTGGAATGACATGAGGGTGACCATGTGATGTATTTACGTAGACATACTCTCCTCCTGCAGTCGGGCCATGACCTCCACATCAGTCATGTCCTGAAGCTTATAGCTCATAGAGATGGAGTCGTCCTCCAGTTCAGAGACACTTAGGTCACTGTCTATGGACGACTGAGGACTGAGAGGTCTTTGACGATGACTGTTACCTGAAAGAGACATGGAGAACTCAATCTCACACATATACGGCACAGACTGAAAAAACTGAAACGACTGCCACTTATTTAAAGTGCATTTTTATATTGATTGAAAATCATGGAGTCCTGTTTTGTTCAGTTTGTCTAATAACAAAAGTGTTAATGGCAAATAACACTCCTCATAGGAAAAAAAATGTTTAAATAGTATTTTTGCTTGACTCACAGTGTTGATGTGCAGAATACATACTGATTTACTAACTACAGAAATTTCTCAGGGTTTTATTTATTTATTTTTGTGCATAACAGAAAATATGATGCATATTTTAAAAGACATCACAATAAGCATTACTTTTGAAAGTGACTTTATTTTATAGTAAGTAAACTAAATTAAACATTGACTAACAATGTTTTTAGTTTTATCTTAAATGAAAATATCATATTATTTATGGTGAAATTAAATTGTAAAAAGCCAAAAAACGATCATACTGACCTACGTTAAGTAACATTTTGGCTAACATCTACATAAAATCTAATGATATAATCTTTTCACTTTGTGTGAATGTTTTTGTCTTTGGGGAAAGAAATATTTTTGATTAATAGTAAATCAAAATTTAAGGTTTGAACCCATTCATAAATATAATTTAAGAGGCAGCACAACTGTTTGCAACACCGATAATAATAAGAAAGCAGTAAATGAAAGTAAAGAAAACAGTTTTTTGAGCAGTAAATCAGCATATTATTTTGAAGGATCATGTGACACTGAAGACTGGAGTAATGATGCAGAAAACTGAGCTTTACCTCACAGGAATAAATTACATTTTAAAATATATTAAAATAGAAAACAGCTATTTTAATATTTAATAACATTTCAGAATATTGTTTTTGATCAAATAAATGCAGGCTTGGTTGGCATAAGTGACTTCTTTTTAAATCATTAAAAAAATAAAATCTTATCAACCCCAAACTTTTGAAAGACTCCAAATACACTTTGTGGAGCATGATGGGAGATCTTGGTCAAGCTTACTTTGTGTAGCCGTGTGATAGAGGAATGTGGGAGATCTTTCGGTTAGGCTTGAGCAGTTTCTCCCTGTGAGAGACTTCTGATGGTTTGGTGAAGGTGGATCTGGTTCAGGAGAGAGATGATAGATCAATCAGAATATGGTATTGAGTAAAAATCAGCTTAATAAACAATGATCAAAACTATAAAGACGTTAAATTCGGTTTTGTGTACTAAAGAAATTCTTTGTTGGGTTGTCATTTGCTGTCCACTGTAAAATCTGTGTCCTAAAGCAAAACCAGTTGAGACTGATCTAATGCATATAAATCTATAGTCCAACCAGGACCATATGCAGACCTTCTGTGACAAAGCATCACAAGCAAATCTTTGTCTTGTGTAACATATGCTGCAGCGGTCACTTCCAGACACCATGAGGTCGTCACAACTCATCAGTGATGTCTCACATTTCTCATGGCTTGAAAAATGCTGAGCTGACTGAAGGAAACGATACCTGATGCCTGGGGAAAAAAATCAATATGTTCTTTCTCAGCTAGTCTGATTGCTACGTCTTTACGTTTCTCAACTACCCAGTTTACCAGTATATTTCAATCAAAAATTAATAATAGTTCTATATTATACATATGGCCCTTGTGAAAAAGAATATGCAGCTGTAGTGTACAGTACTTCAAATCTTAAAAGAATTTATAAAAGAAACTGTACTTTCAGATTAATAAAAGGCCTCTTAAGTGTACTTAAAGAGAGTACACTTTAATGACTGTTTCTTAACACACTTAAGTGCACCTTTAAAAAGTGCACTTTGTAATAATGTCAAGTTAAAAGTTTTGCTTTAAAATACATTTTATATCATTGTTTTAATAGTTTAAAGAAGTACACTTTACTAAAACACATGTAAAGTACTTTATACGTGTAAAGTGTCATTTAATATTACATTTAAAGTTAATATATTTTAAATGTACTAAATTGCAACTCCATTATTACAAATGTGTAATTACAAATATCTTTAAATACATGACATATATGCATTTCAATAGAAATTGGTAACACTTTATTTTTAAGGTGTCCTTGTTACAGTGTAATTATACATTTAAGTACTGAGTAATATTGAATATCTACATGTACTTACTATATGGTTAGGGTTTGGCTTAGGGTTACTTGCATCTAATTATGCATAATTAATTGCTATTATAATAGTTAGTACATATAACGTGTAACAAGGACACCTTAAAATAAAGTGTAACTGAAATTACATTAAAGTATATTTTAGTATAATATAAATGTCAGTACATTCAGCAGTACACTTTAACTATATTTCAAAGACAAAAGAATTATGAAATTACATATGTGACCCTGGAGCACAAACCCAGTCTTAAGTCGCTGGGGTATATTTGTAGCAATAGCCGAAAATACATTGTATGGGTCAAAATTATAGATTTTTCTTTTATGCCAAAAATTATTAGGATATTAAGTAAAGATCATGTTCCATGAAGATATTTTGTAAATTTCCTACTGTACATATATCAAAACGTAATTTTTGATTAGTAATATGCATTGCTAAGAACTTAATTTGGACAACTTTAAAGGAGATTTTCTCAGTATTTTGATTTTTTTGCACCCTCAGATTCCAGATATTCAAATAGTTGTATCCCGGCCAAATATTGTTCTATCTTAACAAAACCATACATCAATGGGAAGCTTATTCATTCAGCTTTCAGATGATGTATAAATCTCAATTTTGAAAAATTGACCCTTATGACTGGTTTTGTGGTCCAGGGTCACATATAAAGATATTCTTTAGTCCTACTTAAATGGGTCAAAAAAAGCACTCTGAAGTTGAGCTAATTGCATTTCATATTAAAACTATATACATTTTTTTTAAATAAAGTGGCTGAAAACATTACATTCAATTCACTTTTAAAGTATATAATTTCTGTAATAAGTACTCTTTTTAAGAGTAAGCTATGCAAGTCTACTTCTTTTCCACAAGGGCCTGTATAATACACAGTACAAACTATGTAGTTTATCAGGCATAGAGTACAGAACCTATATTAGCAGTTATATATGAATAATAATGAGAAATTGCTTCTGGCCTTGAGTTAGGATGAGTGAGGCACAAGTGTTACCTGTTTGCTCAGTTAGTGCAGGTTTAGTATAGGGTTTAGGACAGCTGCTTAAAGAAGAGAGTTCATCTACAGGACTGTACAGAACACTTGAAGAGAGGACGCCTCTCCATCTTCTGGCTAATGGGAAAAGAGAAGTGCAATTAATAAATAAACATGACAAACAGCAACATTAATATATTAATAGTATGGTTAGTGTACTATTGTGAATAAGGACAATAAATAAGTAAGTAATTAAATAAAGTTTCTGTAGTTTTTATTAAATATATTTTAAAAAATTTTTTTCCACAATTAAGAAATTTAAGCTATTTCTGACAATTTTAGAAAACAGTAACTAGGACTTCTCAATTTCTCCTTTTGTGTTCTGTGGAAGACGAAAAGGTTTGAAAGATTCATTTTGTGCCAAACTGTTCCTTTAAAAGAGTGAAACTGGGTTGAATGAGTTATTGGTAGTCAAGCGGACCACAGTACTTATGCGTACCTTAACAATTAGCCTTTGCGAGATCGCATAAAAACAAGCATTCATGGCTACCCAGAAAAACAAAGGTTTTCAGAGGCTGCCGGAACAAAGATGTATTCATGACCCCGTTTACAGAGAGCCAAGCTCGCTGAATCTGGCCTTTCAAAAGCCTTTCAGAGCAACCGCAACTCCACAACACACATCTCTGTATATGTGCGCCTCGTACATCATTCATGTATGGACTGATCCAAAGGAATAACTGATACAAAAACATTCCACCATGTCCCCAGAACAGTCTCCAATATATCTGTGTTAGTTAGTGCTGATTCTGCACTAGGAGTTGTTTCTATGGATACCATCTCCTCCAGCAGCATTACTGAACTACACAAGTACAGAAAATGTAGGTTATCTGTTCACCTTTTAGCTACCAAGACACTGCAGTGCTAATTTTGTATCTCCTCAAGGTCTTATTATTTATCATCATATCAAGTTATATTTTATATTAGGCTGAGTAACAGTTAACACTCCCCAGTCTGCCACTGTTCATTTTCAGATTCATCTTACAGTTTTCTCAAATTTAATTGTATATGTATCTGCATTATATATAGACTCCATTAAAGAAATAGTATACTAAAAAAAAAAAAAAAACTTCACCTTCAGGCCATCTTTATCTGAACAGATTTGGAGAAATGTAGCATTGCATCACTTGCTCACCAGTGGATGCTCTGCAGTGAATGGGTGCCGTCAGAATGAGAGTCCAAACAGCTGATAAAAACATCACAATAATCCACACCACTCCACTCCGGAACATCAATTAATGTCTTGTGAAGTGAAAAGCTGCAAAAGCTGTGTACACATCTACTTCAAAAGCTGTTTGTAATAAACAAATCCATCATCAAGATGTTTTTTTTTACTTTAAACCATCGCTTCTGGCCAAAATACAGGTCCATAATCCATAATAACACTTCCACCAGTGAAAAAGTCCACCCCTGTTGTCGTCTTTCAAAATCATAGCAACATATTTGTTTGGAACTGTTTTGGACTGTTTTCACTTGTTTCTCTCCTGATTCAGACGAGATTACCTTTTCACTATATTATTTTTCACAATATTATGGATAAAGAAACGGTTTGATGTAAAAAAAAAAAACACCTTGATGGATTTGTTTCTTTTAAAACATGCAGCATTTCAATTCACAAGATGTTGACTGATGGACTGGATTACTTGTGGATTATTGTGATGTTTTTATCAGCTGTTTGGACTCTCATTCTGACGGCACCCATTCACTGCAGAGCATCCATTGGTGAGCAAGTGACGTAATGCTACATTTCTCCAAATCTGTTCTGATGAAGAAACAAGCTGCATCTTTTGGGTGAAATATTTCTTTAAAAAAGCTATAATTGTCAATCCCTAAACCTCAAACTCAAATTTGACCATAAACAACACTGATATTTTAGACATTCAGATTTCGTACTTTATATCCATGGGAATGATGGTTGGTACCTTGGTCCAGTTTGTAGCACAATGAGCGTTTGGCTAACTCCACCTCTGGTCTGGGGTTGTCCAGCACGTGTCTGCACCACTGAAGAGGACTGAGGAGAAGATGAGGAAACAGCTTTGCTTTTGGAGACACGTACAACCTGGTGACATAAAAACATGGTTAGAACATCCCAATCTGTACTTTTGCAAACTTTCATTATTATAGTGTTGCCTGGATGCTTTCATGAATTGTATCATTAAAGGCAGGGTATGTGATTTTTCAAAACCACTTTAGAAAACTGATTCAGGCCGAATAGCAAAACAAACTTGTAGCCAATCAGCAATAAGGGGCGTGTCTACTCGTGATGTGGAGGAGAGAGCTTTCAGTGCATGGGACGGACATTAGCCGAGCCGAGCGACAGAAAGATAGAGATGGCGGATAAAAAACAAAAGAGGAAAACGTCTGCGGAACGATAAGGCAAGAAGTAGGACCCGTGTAAATATCGGATCAGCTTTCCAGCGCTGGAGAGAACACAAGGAGCGGAGGCCTGCGATCGGACGCCGAGGTTGCTTTGTTTCTTCTCAATAGGTGAGTAACACCGTGTCTACAACAGCTAAAGTCTGACTACACTGGACGCGATCAAGCGACCATTGAAAACCATTTGAAATGTGTGTCAGCAAGTCATAAATAGAACCCGGCAGCAGTTTTCTGTCGGGGATTTGTTGCACCGCGCCGCTCACGTCCGTAGACACGGTGTAACATTGGTTTTGCTTTGTTTCACAGAACGAATCGTTGCCTGGGTTGCGTACGTATATGTGGGGCGGAGCTATCAAAATAGGGGCAAGACCCTTTTGGGGTAGGGGCGTGTTTGTTTTGGTGATTTCAAATATCAACATTGGCTACCAGAAATCACTTACTCTGCCTTTAAAGTGTTGCCTGGATGCTTCATGAATTGTATCATTAATCTAGTAACATTTGTATTAGCTCAGCTGATTAAAAGAGTTTGAAACTGCACCTAAAATATAAAAAGGCATGTATGACCACTACCTGCTTAAGAAAATCTTCTTCTTCTTCAAAAAAAAAAAAAAATCGTCAAAAAAAGTCATTTGTTTGAAACATGATCTAACTGATCTCTATCTAAAATAAAAATAAAAACATGATCTCATTTATTAAAAGTGTCCTACTAACTATTTAGCAAGATTAAAAATAAATATAGGTCTAAATTTGAATTCAGGATGTGAATGATGTTTATTTGACTTGATCAAATGTCTACCCATTTCTGTGAATGTCCTGATGTTAGCTTATGCTATGGTTTGGCTTTCATGAACATGTCACATAAATGTGAAAGGATGTTGAAGGAGACATTTTTGTGCATTTTTCAAACAGCTTTTTTGTCATTACAAATTATATTATCAGCATAACATCCTAGCTTAATAATGTCCTAGTATTTGGTTTGTCTTTCTTTTAAAAACCCAAGTATTTTATGAGGTGGCAATTTTGTATGAATTCGTACAACGTGATTCGGATGAAAATGTACAAGACAGGCCAGATTCGCTGTTTTTATTTCTCTGTGTAGTGTTCACGTTCAAGTTAGAATACTTTTGACCATCCGGTGTGAAATGATCCCAAATGAACAGTCAAATGTGTATGCATCTGTGCACTTCACATTTAGAAGACAAATGATCTTGAGAATAATATGGATATTTTTCACATCAACACAGCATGCCAGTCTTTCACCACTAATAAGATGTTACCCTGCATCAGTGATGTTCAGACACTCACCAACAGTAACTAACAATAATGGACCTGGACACATGGTCTACTTATGGTGACATTTCATGGGAACTGAATTTAAGCCATGACAAAGAACATGCAATGCTGAATATCGAAAATCAAATCCTTTTAGGCAAGAAATACACCATTGTTTACTGGGCAAATAATGCAGCATCAGTACCAGCTGTAATCAGACTCTCCATCGATGGGAAGAACAACATGAAGGTCTAGTATTTCCACCTCATCCAGCACAGTAGCATCATCCTCATCAGCACCAGTCACTGACTGCGGATGAAAATACGGATAGTGCTCATCCGACAGTCCAAACGCTGGAGAATAGGAGGATGAAAGGCAGTAATTCCCGGTGTCTGGGCCATGACGGGCGCTGGAGGTGCAGTTGTTCGCTGCGTTTGCTCTCGTCCTGAGCTGCTCGTTTTGCCTCTCCAGTTTTCTCACGAGCTCCTGAAGCTTTTTCACCTCCAGTTCTGCGTTCATTATCTTACTGTTGCCATTGACGTCCGCCATCATCTGCGGGTTGAACAACAGTCCGTCCATTGAAGAGAAAAGCATATAAACAGTAGTAAGATGGTGGCGGTGTTGTTTACCCTGTGTGCCCAGACTCGCAGTGCTTTCAGACGGCTTGCACGCTTCATTGAGATGCTGATGTGTCTCTCTCTGTCTCCTCCCCCTCAGTTCAAAACACAACACACGACCACCACATAATTACCACCAGGCAAAAAACACCAGCCCCTGACTTACCCATGCAGCTCCTCGACATCCTTCTTTCTTTCCATTCAGCTGACTAGCAAGAAAATGGTGCCTTACATCTGGAGTGTCATGTTCTATTCTATTCTCAAATATATTCCCAATACAATACACGTTCAAATTAAGGTCAATATGATTTATGATTTTTTAAAATTCATAATTTTATTTAGCAAGGATGCATTAAATTGATCAAAAGTGACGGTAGGACATTTACAGTGTTACAAAATATTTCTATTTCATATATACATGCTGTTCTTTTGAACTTTCTATTCTTCAAAGAACCCACAACATATTAAGTAGCACAACTGTTTTCAACATCCTTGTGAGTGACACTGAAGACTGGAGTAATGATGCTGCAAATTCAGCTTTGCATCACAGGAATACATTACATATTAAAATATATTAATTGCAATAATATTACAGTTTTTTTAATTGTATTTTGATCAAATAAATATCATTGGCGAGCTTAAGATACTTTTAAAAAAAAACATTTAAACTCTTACTGACCCCAAATGTTTGAATGGTAGTGGCCTACGTCTTAATATATTGGATGAGATATTAAACTCACAATTTTAGTGTTGTAAATGTATTAGTTCTTTTATCATATCACAATTTAAATGGAGTATTTTTTACATTTCAGTCTGTCAGAATTTCATGTTAAATTCAATGTGTTGCTTGTTTCTTTGTCATTATTTGTAAAAAAAATTACAAGCAATTTCTAAGAGAAAATAGTTTCAAAGTAAATCCTAAACCGTGTGTTTGTGTGTTCTTTGGATTGAACTTTTCTGCTGAAAAATGGATAATTTATTAAGAAATATTTCAGGTGTTTCTTCAATTTTCCATTATCTAATTTTAATATTTCAAATCGTTTTAATTGGCAATTTGTGAATATTTTCCTTTGTCCTCAGTGTCAACTTCAATTCTGTTAGTCTTTGTAAAATCCCTAAACTAACAAAAGTCACTTAATTAATGGCATCATCTTGTGACACGTTTTTTTAAAATATATAGATATAAAACCAGCAACTGATTTAAAGAAATCTTTGACGAAGTTTAGTTGGTTTGTCTCCCTTTTGATAAAATGACAGAAATCCAGATAAAATCAACATTTTAAAGGATTAAAAGGTCAAATAATATCAATGATAACATCAAGTTGACCCTCTCATGTAAAAAAAAACTAGCTGCAACGGCTAACTTTAGCTCTTTATTTGCATCCTCTTATGAATCCTGTCATAAGATACGAGTTGAAGTGATCTTGATCACAGCATATTTCTGAAAGACTGCAGTTCTTTAGAAATACTTACAACACAAGCATATTCAATTTATAGCTACAGAGGTGAAAGGTACTGCATAACTCATCTCTGGAATGATGTTTAACCAGATCTGAACAATGAAAGACAATCAGATGAAAATCTCATCATATACATGCATGCTTTAATAATACAACAATAGTGAAGACAAAAATGAAGCAACTCAAAAAATATTTATCATCATGTATTAGGAAAAATATTCTTCTTTAAAAATATTCTTATTATTTTGGTAATTAAATAAGATCCTTGTCGCATCATCGGGGAGAATAGCAATCAATGCAATTAATAAACCCCAAAGTCTATTATCAGACAGAAGTCCACCACCATAAACAGTTTTATGCACTTCAAATGGCCTGAGTCCAAATCAAAGCCATGGGAAAGTTTTGGAATAGGCAAGTATATTTGCCATCTCTCTCATAGCATCACTTCATTATTGCTAAGTGTGGTTTCAGCGGAGCCATTTGCCTGTAAAACAAACATTTTTGTTTATTTAGTAAACACACTGACTGTATCATTCAGAATATTGAAAAATAGAGTAGAGCGAATCTTACCCTTAGTGACACCAAAGCAGCTTTCACAGTGAATGGCACGACGGTACACCCACAAACTGTCCCCTGCCTTCAGGTGTCCCAGAGAAACATTACACACCCCACACTAAAAAAATAACAAAATAAAATATTACTAATAATAAATACTTTTCTTTAATAAAACATCAATTCTATACTTCAAATTGTATCATTTTTGTTTTTATTGAAATTAAAATAATATAGTTATGTTATAAAGTTATATATAGTTAAAAAGACACATTTGAATACATTAATAACACCACCAAAAATCTTAATTCTAAAATAAAACGTTCATATTTCACACTGCACTCACATAAGTACTGATTTAATGAAAACAATTACTACACATTTTTAAAGAGCTTAAAAATAGCTAACCTTGAAACAACTTGCGTGACAGTTGATATTCATGTCATCCAGGACAATCTTTTCATCGGTGTACATGTTTTTATGGCAGACCGTGCAGATGTCCTTCCCACTTACTACCCTGCAACAAAGTGATCCGCATTTCACGTGTGCACTAAATCTCACATCAAGCATAATTAAATATGTATTCTTTCTGCTTCCATACCTTTCCGGTGATGTGTACACAGTCGTGGTGGTTTTTGATGTGAGCGAGTCAGACAGGTAATCAGCAGGCCTGTGGACAAAGTGACATAAGTCTACAAACCTGGTCAAAAGTAATCGGTAATTCTTGGAACAGAGTAGTGTTTTAATTGACAAGACATCTGAATATGTCGATGTGGATACTGAACCTGCTCTCTCTGTATGATGTCCTGGTGTAAGAAGGACTTGTGACTGTACTCCACTCATCTCTATATGCATTAAAAAAAAAGATAAATTAGTGTAATAAACAACAGATAATGTATCAGGCAAAGATGCTTGAATAAGAAATACCATCCTACCTCTCATTTGTTGAATACACGGTTCTGATGGATTTGGAGACCGATACATCCTCGCGACTGTAGGAACGATAAAAGTCCATGATAGCATAAACACTGCTGCAGTGAGAGTGAAGCTCTAATGGAAAGTCGTGAGCTCTAAGTATGAATGTGCAGCTGCTTTTGTGCTTTTAGCCTGTCAGTCGTAAGACTGGTTAAACTACTTAAAGGCCGAAGCAAATGTCAAACTCGCCACGAATGGGTTCACACCTTATAAATATGTAAATGCCACATACCTGCTGTCAGGTTTTGTGTTGGCTGACTTGATTGACGCAGGTATGAGAGTATCGAACAGTTGATCCTCAGTGCTGAAGAAAAGCATCGAGTCAGTGATGTTCTTTGTCTGAGAAGCATTGACGGGTGTGGAACTACTTGGAAATATCTGTCAGGTTCTCACCTCTTTGTGGATCGGACAGAATATGATGTTGTTTTAGTTGGTGAAACATCCTCCTTGGTGTAGGTTTTGATGCTAGATTTGAACATGTTAAGAGGTTAATAGAGCAGCCTTATTATTTCAGGCTAGTCAGCAAATTGTAAGCTGGGGTTACTGTACCTTGTGGTGGTCTTGACAGGTGAAGTTGGTCTAGAAAAAAATTATAATAGGTTTTAGGTCAATACACTCAAAATACAACAAATATATAAAAATTAAATATAGATAATTTATAATTAGATTTTGTGTAGGTTAGATTTTACTACAGTGGTTTAGGACAAAAATGTCCTTCAAATACTGAAGTTTATTAAACTGTTTGGTATAGGCCAAAACTGTCAAATAGAAAGTTTTAATTTAAAAGGAGATTTTAAATTATTATGTTTGAATAATCTCGTCTTGCTTTAAAGTACACTTACTGTAATGCATTGATTAGCATGCATGTCAAATTAACTGTAGTTTTTTTAAATTTAATATTACTTAAAAAAAAACTCAGTTTCCTAATTACAAATGTATTTGAATACACGACATACAAGTTTCAATAGAAATTAAGTATACATTAAAAAAGACATGTTTAAGTTTAGCATAAAGTCTGTACATTCAGCAAGACAAAAGAATTATGAAATTACATTTAAATATGTACTTTAGTCCTCTTTAAGTGGGTCAAGTTCAACTCACTGCATTTAATATGAATGCAAACTATAATACAATTTAATTAAATTGCAATTAACATGCAATTAAGTGTCTGAAAACATTACATTCAGTTCACACTCAAGTATGTTCTTTTAAAAGTATGCTAAAGTATATTTTTTCTAGTTCTGTCAAACGATTAATCGCATCCAAAATAAAAGTGTTTGTTTACATAATATATGTATGTATGCTGTTTATATTTATTATGTATATGTAAATACACACACATGCATGTATATATTTCAGAAAAATATGTTATGTTTATATATTAAATATATTTTTTTATAATATAAATTTTATGGATATAAACAAACATGTAAATACATGTAAATATTTTCAAAATATATACTAAATGTGTGTGTATTTATATATACATAATAAATGTACATAGTACACACACATATGTAGTGCAAACAAAAACGTTTATTTTGTATGCGATTAATCGCGATTAATCGTTTGACGGCACTAATTTTTTCACAAGGGATTCATTTGTAACATTTATAAAACAGCTGAGGATTTAGACAAAAGATAGAGCTCATTTATTTACCTATTCTATCAATGCATGATTATATGGTTTGCTGCATTTTTAGCTCCATAATTTTTTTCCCTGTTGTGCGTGAACTATTAGAATAGATGTCAGACATGCAAGTGATTTGTAGGTCGTGACCCTTGGGTTGAGAAGCACTGATCTATGACACTCACACATCACTGATGTCCCTTGAAGACTTCACCGTAACCACTTCAGTCTTGTAGTCACTTTAGAGACACAAAACAAGTGCAGTGAGCAACGAGTCAGTCTCTAAATGCAAGTTCATGTCATTGCACGGCATTATATTTTACAATAAGAATTGTGATGTGAACAATCTCTTAAGTGCCCACCTCTTTGTGCTGTAGGATGTTGTTTTAGGTGGTGAAACATCCTCCTTGGTGTAGGTCTTGATGCTGTAAATTAAATAGGTTAAGACGTTAATAAAAGGTATTAGTAACCGCATTTTTTCCAGGTTAGTCAGCCATCTGCAGCTGTATGTTTTTCTGGTTATTCAGCAAGGCTGTGGTTACTGTACCTTGTAGTGGTCT